ATGATGATAGAAAGGTTGGCAAAGTGTTCTAAGGCCCAGAGCAGAGCAAAAACATCTGGGTTGGGGCCTGGCTCGGGTGGTAACTTGCTTATCTAGTAAGTGTGACTCCTGCAGTTCAAACCCCAGTATTCTCCAAAAAGAAGCAAAACTCCAACTTGTCATGAAACTCATGTCCATCCTGCTGCTCGCCCTGCTTCAGTTCTGTGCTCTTGCATTACACTACATGGAAATGCTTCGTATTTCATTGCTCCATAGGAAATGTGGCTGGTACAACTGAATGACTGAATATTTTATTTTCCAGTCTTAGGGCTTGAATTCAGGGTCTTGGTGTTGTCTCTGAGCTTTTTTTTTTTTTTTTTTTAAATCAAGGCTAGCCCTCTACCACTTGAGCCACAGCTCCACATCCAGCTTTTTGGTATTTAATTAGAGGTAGGAATCTCATGGATTTTCCTGCCTGGCCTGACTTCGAACCATGTTCCTCAGATCTCAGCCTCATGAGTAGCTAGGATTACAGGCATGAGCCACTGTGGCCCAACTGATCATTTTTAATGAGTCTTCATTAAAATAGCCATGTGTGACAGTTGGCCGCACTATTGGACAGTGACAGCATAGATCAGCTACCTAATAAAGTACCTGAAAGCATTTCCTTCTTTGGACCTTATTTTCATAAGTAGCAGTACAAGGGTGATGGCAAGAGATTGCTTTCAAAGCAGCCTGTGTGATCAGAAGGCTGTCCAGTGCTTCTCCTGTTTCTTGGAATATTTTCCTTCTTCCAGTGAACCACACCTCATCCTTCAGAGCTCTATTCAAGCACTGCTTCCTCTCACAAACCTCCCCTGATATTTCTCATAATACAAGACTGCTTCTTATGAGCCCTGTGTTCAGAGAGAGGGAGAGGGAGGCAGGAGAGAGGAAGAATGGAAGAAGAGAGAGTTGGAGTAAGAACACAAGGATGAACAACTGATCATAGCTGCAATATGGCAAAATCCCCGAGCAATGGCCAGGGCTTTGGGCAGGAAAGAGGCCATGTGTGGGGGTCTGGCCTTAAGCAGCGAAGGTAGGTCTTGCTGTGGTCTTACTAATTTGTTTTATGTTTTCTTTATGGGGGGATCATCAAATAAAAGGAAGGTTGGTGATGGAAGGTTGAGGGCCTGATTGCTCTGAAATAGCAGAGTTGCACTTCAGGCTGGAAAGGCTGTGCTGGGACAATAGCTGCCTCGTGTGTGGCAGGTGTGGCTTGGCGAATGTTGTAGAGAAGGGGATGTTGGGATATTCACGGCTATGTTTTTCCAAATAGGAAAATAAATGAAGATGGCTTGACCATCATTAGGAAAGATCCCTATCCTTCCATTTCTGTACCATTGGGCACATCTGGGGCTTCTTGCTCCTGTGCGCATGTGAGTTGAATGTGGACTTGGTATGCTAGTGACATTAACTCCTCATCCTTCGATACCCGCCAGCAGCCCCTGTCACCATTATTTAGGTGACTCTCTGTCTGTCTGTCTGTCCATCTGTCTGTCTGTCCATCTCATATATTTCAGGACAGCCTTCCGCTTAGGATCCTATTGCCTTAGGCTCCTGAATACTGACATTACGGGCATGTGCTAACATTCTTGACTCTTCATTCTCCTATGCATTAATTAAGCAATTACAATCATTCTTGTCTGAGACTGTCTTCCAAACAACAGCCATTTCATAAATTCTGAATTAAATCCTTAGTTCAGTCAAACACAAGTTTTGTATTCTAAAGATACCTGATTATAAGGTCTATATAATGAACTGCTTTTTTTCTGTTTTCTTTACTTTTCTATTTACATTGGCCAACTTTTATGAAGAAATTACAATAGAGCTGTTATGATGGCTCATTCGTGTCCTTTCCTCATACTTTGAAATTTCTCCCAAAAAGTAAGATATTGATTTAGCAACAATAGAAACAACATGTTGTAAATGGTTTCTCCTTAAGTTCCAGAAGAGAAATTGAGTCAAATAATTTTCAACCAACTTTTTAAGATATGATCTAGATATATAATAATTCCTCAGATTATAACTTGGCTTTCTACCCCATAAATCATGTTTTCTTCTCACTTTCAATAGCAATGTGTGGCTGTCTTTTTAAGGACTAATAAGGGTAACTTTGAAGTATTACCTCATGAGAGAATAAGAGATAATGGACCTCCATTTGGATTCTTTCTTAAATGAGCTTTGTGATGAAGCTTGTCACAATGTGATCATAAATGATTTGTCACAATGACTCTAACAAAGCAAATTCCTCAACAGGCAGCAGCAGAGGAAAGAGAGAACAAAATCTCAGGAAGTCTGTTATAGTCAGGTCAGATGGGAAAGCTTTTCTAAGAGAACAGAGGACAAACAGAATTCTGAATTTGGAAAACTTAGGAAGAACTTAAAAGAAGCTTTAGGATGTTCAGTTTGGGGAGGTTTCTATTTTCATACTCCCATTTCTTACCAACATAGCATTGAAGCTATCTATGTGTCTTTGAAGTTGAAGATACTAGGAAGGTGTATAAAAACCCCAAACTACTACTGATGCATATTTTGAATCAGTAAAAACATCTATTTTTCACAGATGGCATGTTAATGTTGTCAGATGAGAAAAAAATAAGATCACCACAATATAATGGGTCATTTGCTGTTAATCTAGAGCATAACTCTCCCTCGGATATTTCTGGGACAAGAATCATTAGTGAGCTCAATATATTATGATTCTTTATCAGCCAAATAAAGTGATCATTGTAAGTATATATACCTAGATTATATATATATATTTGAATATATATTCACTCTTAATAGTTAATCTCTCTGATCACAACTACAAAGTCAAGACGACAAACTTCTAGCTGCATTTAACACACAGCAAACAATAAAGCAAGGTCACTGGATATAAACCCCGATCTTACAAAGTAAAAGGAAAGAAATATCAAGGTCAAACGAATTATTATTATCCATATATTAACATGCTTCATTCATCATATACCTTGCCATAACATTTAGAGAAACCAATGTCCTTTCAAATAATATATCCAACACATCATTCAAATATCATCAAGGTAAAGGAAATCTTATCTAGTCACAGGATTATGTTTTCTATTTGTTCCATCTTATTGGTAATTATTCTTTTCTGAACTTAAGTGCTGGTCTCTACTGGCTTTGGAAACAGAAAATTAGAGTGTGAAACCTGAATTAGAGTGTGAGCCTGAAATCACTTGGAAACTCTGGTTATGTCTTAACTAGAATAGACTATAAGTCTTTATAAGTATTTATAAGGGACATTGGTCTATAGTTTTCTTTTCCTTTAGTTTGGTTGTCTCATTTGCAAAAGAACAATTCAGATTTCAGACAATGAATTGACAAGCATTTTCTCTCTTCCTCAATATTTTTTAGGATGAGTCTGAGAAAGATTATTTTCCCTTTAATTTTTGGTGTAATATTCCATTGAAGCCCATCAGTCCAACACATTTCTTTGTTTAAAGTCTTTGGTTAGTGATTCAGTCCTACTACACAAAGTCTGCTTATATATTGTTATTTCTTCATGATTTAGCCTTAAGTAGCAAACAGTTAAGAATTCAGTTTTTAATTCAAATTGTACATTTTGGCATACATTCAGTCACAATTTTCTCTTTCAAAAATACGTTGATACTATATTATAAAACTCTGCAATGAATTTTAACACTGTAGTTACTTTGGCTCTCCCATCTATCCTCAAAGTAGGAGATTTAATCTATTAACATTTATAAATTGCTGTTATAGCCCTTAAAACATTAGCACCGAGGGAGAGGCCAGAATTTATAACTCTCTGGACACTTTGGGAAAGGAAAGATCCTAAACAGAGATCCTAAACACTCGTAAGAAAATATGGACAAAAAATACCAGAAATCAGAAATTACTCTGGAACTGTTTTTATTTGTGTCAGATAAACAGGAAGAGATGTAGAATATGTGGTATCTATAAGATTGTGGTGACTTTGCTGTTGAACTCCAAAGGAAATCCATTATGAAAGCAGAGTTTCAGGAGTAGTTTAAAGTTCCAGGTATTTTGGTTCACATCAATGCCTAGCATTTCCCCTCATGCTTCAAGCTCAGTTTTCCATTGCTCAACCTGAAGAACACAGAAAGAAATCAAGGGTTAGCTGATTTGGTACCATCACACAGAGAAAATGTGATTACTGAAAACTGCCTGAGAAAAGCAAGACTAGACACTGGCTCGCTTGGTTCTTGCTGAGTGCTTGGAGCATCTTTTCTGTTTTCTTCAATCCCTGCTCAAATCTTTTTCACAATATGAGGTAATTGTTGTCTGTTGTCTTTTCTACTTCCAACTGAATAGAGGAGACCTTTAACCTTAATACGTATTTTAGAATAGGATTTATTAAGAAATTAGTAAATTCTGGAACTCTGAAACCAAAAGAGATATATTATTCTGACCTCTTCCCCTCATTTCATACAAAAATTTTAAATGCTTAAGTGTCTAACTCTTTAACAATATTTTACCTATTGAAATGCCCTTAACTCATTTTAGTTTTTTTGAGATAGTAATTTTTGAAGGGTTAGATTGTTTACCAAGTAGTATCTTTCATGTCATTAGCATTAGAATAGAATTTAGCAGCCAACAATTAGTAATCCAGGACTCATAGTGTTTTTTTTTTTTTGTCTTATGGTATCATTTGTTTCTTCTCTGCTGAAAAAATTAAAACTGAGGCAAATAGTTATTTTTGTATGTTTTGTCTACTATTTACTTCTAATTTTAAGGTAGATGTTCAATAAATATTTGGTAAATAACTCAAAGGTAAATTAATATATTAATAAATTCCTACTTTAACATATGAATAAATGCCATTCCCTCAGGAAGTAGCTGAATTTACAACTCAAGAATTAGGTATGTTTTTTGGAAGCCAAGTCACACAATGATACAGTCACAGGACACAATTCTTTCTTCCCTATGAATCAGAATAGTGATCTTGCTAAAAAAGGAAAACAAAGCTCTCTTACCTCTTTGCTTCCTTAAATAGACAATTATTTCCATAGGTTTTTCCATTAGAACCACAGACTGGTTTGTAGATAGATTCACACATTGTATTTATAGTTGGGTTCTTTGTGGGGATGCTTCTAATCTATTGTAATATGAAAGACCATGAGGTAAAGATTGATCAGTTTAACTCAGACACTATTATGAAAAACATTAGATTCTCATTTATTAGTAAGGAATATTAAACATTATAAAATAATCTTCCTGATTCCTTGTACTTAATCCATCTAAGCCTCCAAAATCCCTTGCTCTTATGACTTCAGACACCCTTTTCTTAAATTCTCTGGAGAGATATCTTCCCTTATACAGATAAAACAATAGTCAGGAAATCCTACTGAAAAAGATCAAGCACATATAGTCAAAATTTATTGATTCTCGGGGGGAGGCTGGGAAGGGATGTGAAGGGTAAACAAAGGAGGAGGTTACAATGCTTGATAGGAAATGTACTCATTTTCTTGCCAATGTAATTGTAACCCCTCTGTACAGTATGTTCACAATAAAAAAAAGTATTTCCCCCCACTGTTTTGTATCAGTGAAAGAAAAGTATGCAGGAAGCAAAAAAATCATCTATGGAATTAGAAAACCCATGATGATGAAGCTTTGGCAAGTCAATGAGAACAAGATAGTAGTAACAATGATGAGATGTTGTAACTAAGAGTGTTTTTAGTACCCCCAAAATATTTCAATATTTTCCATTGATGTAAACTTTCAATCTCTTCATGACAATTTATTTTGTTATTTATGAAGTGTACAGTGATATTTTCCCCATTTTAGAATTGTTATAAACTTACGGAAGTTACATGATATCCCAAAGAGCCACTGATGGTGGCATTAAGATACAGTAGGTAGAAGTTTGGGGAGAGTAATATTTCATGCAACCCAAGAGACAATCACCAAGAAGAAGAAATAATTTTCTTTTGAGAAAGTGATAAGGATGGACAATTTATAAGATTAAAAAAAAGCTTTTCCTTTAACATGATGAGATGGAGAGAGAATTCTAGAAAACTGTTTCATGTATGAATATAACATAGAATATTTAGCCATTGTCAATTGAAACTAGGAGTTTGATTGTCAGAGAGGAAGAATGGGATGGGAATCAGGTACTCCTGGCTCATATATATAATCCTAGCTATTTAGAAGCTTGAAATCTAAGAATCGAATCGTGCTTTGAGCTAGCTCAGGAAGAAGTTTGTGAGACTCTTCAACTAACCAGTAAAATGCTAAGATATGCCTCAAGTGGTAGAGCCTTGAGTGAAAAAGCCAAGAAAGAGCATTAGCCTTCTGAGTTCAAGTCCCGGTAATATCACAAATATAAAGCAAAACAAAACAAAAACACAGGGATTGGAAGTGGAGACCTGAGGATCAGACGGATTCTTCTCTTTGTGCAAAGATGGTTCCAAAGGAAGAATTAAATGTAACATGAAAATGAGGAGAACCTCTTATGTGAATTTCAGTTATCACAAGCTCAGGTGATATGTGTTTAAAAAGAAATGGTTCTTTCTCCTTAGGTGTTCATAGTTTGCCCAATACAACCAAGTATACAATACAATGTAATACAATCAAGTATACAATATAATCCAATCCAATCAAGTATACAAGAAAACAAATTCTATGGTGGAAAAAATCATTAGTATCACTAGTATATTAGTGGAAAAAGCCAAAGTTCTCTGTATGAAATAGATGTCATGTGAGCAACAGTGATGTGAGATGAAGTTGTATGACTTACATGGGACTAATCATTAAAAAAAAACTTAAATGCTATGATTAAGAGTTTAAGTTTTATCTTATAGGTAACTACACCACTGAAGAATTTTGAGATGGTGAAAACAACAAATCAGAATTTTCTATTTCAAAATGCCAAAAGATGGATACATTATGGATGGCACAGGATTGGGCATGAAAATTCATCCTGATATGGGCAAGGGAATAGTTGATGGAAAGCCAAGTTTATTCAGTTTAGGAAGAATGGTTTGAATGGAGAACACTAAAGGAGGGAAATGAAGGATGGGATAAAGATGAAGGACTCTCAACCATCATCAGGACTGTGTGTGAAGATCATCAGCTCCAATGTTCCTCTCATCTTATTTAATCAGTTTCATGACACATTGCCATTGATACAAAAAGGCTCAGTTAACCTTTTCTAGTCTTTGAAAAAAAAGAAAAGCTAGTACCACTAACCTGAGTATCTACTTTATTACTGTTCAAAGGGTTGGCTGCATGTTTTCTTTCTCCTTGCTTGTAAAGAGATCTTGATTTTCGTGGTTGGCTAGATGACCCAGGCTTGCCCTGTTGGCTAGATGACCCTGGTTTGCCCTGTTGGCTAGATGACCCTAGTTTGCCCCGTTGGCTAGATGACCCTGGTTTGCCCTGTTGGCTAGATGACCCTGGTTTGCCCTGTTGGCTAGATGACCCTGGTTTGCCCTGTTGGCTAGATGACCCTGGTTTGCCCTGTTGGCTAGAAGACCCTGGTTTGCCCTGTTGGCTAGGTGACCCTGGATTTCCCTGTTGGCTAGATGACCCTGGCTTACCCTGTTGGCTAGATGACCCTGGCTTATCCTGTTGGTTAGATGACCCTGGTTTGCCCTGTTGGCTAGATGACCCTGGCTTTCCCTGTTGGCTAGAAGACCCTGTCATCCCTTGCTGGCTAAATGACCCTGAAATTCCTTGCTGGCTAGGTGACCCTGACATCCCTTGTTGGCTACCAGACCCTGATTTACCCTGTTGGCTAGATGACCCTGCGATCCCTTGCTGGCTAGGCAACCCTGCCAACCCTTGTTGGCTAGAAGATCCTGGCTTCCCTTGTAAATCCCAAGCTCCAGATACCGCAGGCTGGTTTGAAATATCTGGCTTTCCTTGTGGATTGAATTTCCCTTGTATCATTGGCTGGTTAGGATATTCTGGCCTTCCTTGCAGAGTAACCATGGCTGGTTCTCCTAGGATGTGAACACTTCCTTGTCCATTAGCTCCTTGTGGTCTTCCTGGATGACTAGCTTCATAGTTTCTCTTGAGAATAAGTGCAGGGTCTTGATTATCTTCTACACTGAAAACGCTTGGTTTTGAAATTTGGGTTGAAGACACTGGAACAACATCATAAACACAAAAATAAGAGTGGAGTAATTTGACTTAATGAATATAAAATGAACAGTGTTCACTCTAACATCTAGACTGTCTTCTTTATTCTTTTTAACACGCTATAAATTAGTCCTTATATTTTTCTCTCATACCTTGAGTAATTTGGTTTCTCCATTGTTTTCTTGACTGTATTAAGTGGTTTTCAAAAATCATAGCATCTAAAAAGTTCACTACATTTCTAAACCATAAGGACTGAATTGTTATTGTGAGCTTTCAATCTTCCTCCAATTTCTTTTTAATGGCTTCTTTCTTTTTTTCTTTTTTTATTGTGAAAATACTGTACAGAG